TGTTTGTATCCCCTTTTCAGTTGTTTGCCGCCCTGAGTCCCTCCCGGAGAAGGGCGGCATACAAATAAACTAAATCTTAATCTTAAATCTTAAATCTCAATGCATGCAAAGAAAAAATAAGCCAAGCTTTAAAATATCTGGATTTTAACGCAAGACCCAAGCATCCCCAGGGCCCCCATCTACGGATTTAAGCCTGAAGGATGGCCTCTTTTCAAATGATGCTGAGGACCCAGATTGTTGGGGGGCAATATGCTCTGTAAACCCTTTAGAGAGAGCCGGAAAGCATTTATATAAATCTAAGTGCTGTTGCTAATTAATAGCAGAGGGATTTGTGGGGCAGAAAGGGAAAAAGGTCTTTTAAGTCTCATTCTGAAATTACTTGTTTACATTACCTCTTCTCTCCCCCCCACTTCTTTTAGCAGATGTTGGCTCACGTCCAGCCGCCTGTAACTTGTCGCGGAGCAGTCCGAAGCCCAACCGGTGGAACCTAGCCTCAGCCCTCTTTTGGCAAGTCCTGACGCCTGATCCACCCGGTTCCAAGCAGCGACCGAGGAACTCCCCGCGACTGGAGGCCAGGAGGCTGGCGCTGCCAAGCAGGGCGTGCGCTAGGACCCGGTTTCGCCTCCCCGAGCCGGAGCAGACACACCTGTTTTCCCGGCTCCGGATCAAGCCGAGCGAGCGGGCGGACGGAGGAGTGCGTGGCCGTCCGGGCTCCGCTCGCAAGCAGCTGCCGCTCGCGCCCCGCCGGGGTCGGCAAGGAGGAGACCGCGGGCTCCGGGTCTCGAAGAGGAGCCGCCCGCCCTCCACGGAGACGCGAGACGCGGAGCTTCCCACGGGGGCTTGCGTGGATTTGACCACCCCAGAGCCGGAGACTAGGGGAGGGGAGGGAACCGGCCCCGGGGGGGCTCGGCGCTCGCTTCCCCTTGCTTGAGCAGCTCTCGCCTTGCCCCGCCGCCCTTCCCAGCGCTCGGGACTAGCCGCGGACTCAGTCTTGCCTTTCCTCCGCCTGTGAAATGGACGCGTTTGCAAAGCCCGAGCTTGCCGGCGCCTACGCTTTGCTGGGGCGCTTCGTTGGCCCCGCCGGCTGTTTCCCCATCAGCTGCCTGGGCTCCCCTTTGAAAAGTGGCTGAAGGGGACAAGGGGGGGGGAGCAGGTGGATGTCTCAGTTGCAACGGGAGGGTCCTTTGTGGGTTTTCTTTTTGGGTGCGGGGTTTGAACCGCCCCGGGCTGGAGCAGCTGCGGGAGGCATGGGCCGTGGGAAAGTGGCGGCGGCGGCGGCGGCGGACTCTTCGGTGGAAGAATGCTCCGACCACGTCTCCCGTGGAAGGAGCCCAAACCGTCCCCGCAAGCTTTTGCGCAGAGTGGCCTCGCAGGCGGTGACCAGGACTAACCCGCCGCTGGGCATCATCTTCACCACCCTCCTGTACTGCGGGGAGCTGGCCTCGGCCTGCGTGGTGACCGCCTCCTACAGCCGCTCCAACGACCAGTTCTGGATGGTCCTGACGCTGCTCTTGATGCTCCTCTCCTCCGTCATGGTCCAGCTGACCCTCATCTTCGTCAACCGGGACTTGACCAGCGACAAGCCCTTCATCCTCTTCATGCACCTGGTGCTCCTGGGACCCCCCATCAGGTGAGCTGGGGGACAGCGCTTCCTCTCCTCCCCGTCGCAAAACTTGGCTCCTCAACTTGGGGTTCAAGGAGGCCTGTCTTCCCCTCAACTGTGCAGGGACTACCATGCCCAGAATCCACAAGTGGAGCTCAATTGGGGTGTCTTCCTCCAGTTGTGCAGAACCCATACCCAGAATCCGCAAGCTGAGTTCAGTTAGGCTTCTCTTCCCCAACTGTACAGGAATTACCATGCCCAGAATCCACATTTGGCTTCAAGTTGTCTCCAAATGCCTTGGGATTGGGAAGCTTGGAGCTTGTGAGAAATTAAGAGAAGGGATGCTTGGCTAGGTTGTCTTTTGGTAAGGAAGGGTTTGTGGCTGTCAAAATGAACTTTCTGGGTTGGTCCAGATGTTTTAAGGCATTGCAGCTGCCAGACGTGATTGCAAAGTGAGGCTCATGCATTATTACAGCCACAGTTCCTTTGTGGAATAAACTATTAATGGGTCAGAATCACACATGGCTCCAAATATTTAAATCAGGGTTTTATCCAGTGGTGGGATTCAAATTTTTTTTAGTACTGGTTCTGTGGGCTTGGCTTGGTGTGCGTGGCATGTATTGGTGGGAGGTGGCTTGGAGGGCGTGGCAGGGGTAGATTACTGCAAAATCCCCATTCCCTCCCGATCAGCTGGGACTCGGGAGGCAGAGAATAGATGGGGTCGGGGCCAGTCAGAGGTGGTATTTGCCGGTTCTCTGAACTACTCAAAATGTCTGTTACCGGTTCTCCAGAACTGGTTAGAACTTGCTGAATACCACCTGTGGTTTTATCTCTCATAAGTGGCTAGCTGGATGCTAAACCCAGGACCCCATCTGCATCCCAACCAGGCCAAAATTGAGTGATCTACATGTTCTGCTTTGTGCTTCTTAAGACGAGAAAGGGCGGAGTCAAAATGGCAGCTCAGCTTGGAAAATGTTGATTTGAATGTGAGAACTAAAGTCTTCCTCCAGTCTGAGTTCCTAAACCCCAATTTTCTCAAAACCAAGATGTCTGGGATTCAATGCCCAGAATTTCCCAGCCAGCCATGGGAGTTGAACTCCAGACAGTTGGAGTCCTTGGTGCTTTTTGAGCCTCATTGTTTTCTTGCAGATGTTTCATTGCCCAATGAGTTAACATTATCATAGGAGTGAGCTTTCCTCCCATGTTATGCCCCTAATAATATAAAATGCCACAATTACAATATAAAATGCCACAAATACAATATAAAATGCCATTAGAATATAAAAAGAGAGCAAGCCCCCTTTCCCTACTAGCCCTGATGATGTTACCTACTTTGGTAATAAAACGTCTGCAGGAAAACAAGCTCAGAGAGCACCAAGGATCCACAGTTCAACCCTGAGATGCAAATATTCTCTTCCATTGGAACTCTTGTTATCTTAAAAGTGCCAAAGTTGAGAAATGCAATCATAAAAAGTATCTGACTATGCTTGCTTTAAGAATTAGTTCCCAGATCAGCCGCGTGTCTTCCTTGCTCCCTTCCTACCCGCCATGCTCATTTTGCTAAGTGTGGTTCTGGCTATTTGTCCTTGATTTTTTTTTTTTGCTCGGAGCATGCTAGAAGCCAAGAGGCAGGTCCATTTTGGAAGCCAATGTCCTCTGCAGAGGAATGTTGATCAGGATGGAAGCTTCTGCCCTTTCGCCAGGAGGAAATGTGATCTTCTCAGAATGTTTAGCATGTTCAAATGCCCTTGGGACCTGCTAGAGCTGAAGATACTGTACGCCCGAAGTTAGGAGAGGCGTAGAATGTCTTTGCAGAGCTAACTAGCATCGAGGGTGATGGCCATGTGTGGAAGATGAGAACTCCAGGAAACAGAATAACAGAGTCAGAAGGGACCCTGGAGGTCTTCTAGTCCAACCCACTGCTCAAGCAGGAGACCCCATCTAATCTAGGAACTAAAAAGTAGGGCACCGTGCTGGAGGTGTGAGATTCTTTTGGCATGTCTTTTTATTTTATTCAAGACAAAAGTTAAAATGCAAAATACAACACTGCTGAAAAATCCAAAGAAAAAAGAAAAAAAAACCCCAAAACCATCAAAATATTAAAAAAAGAAAAAGGTGCATCCAAAAAAGGACAACATTTATACACATTTATCCTCCCTAATTGAATACTGATTAATACATTATTATGATATTAGTTCCCACCCCATGCAAAACAGGCCCACCCCAAAATTTTAAACTATTAAATCTATTTGCAAATTATGGACCCATTCTTCTATATATTAGTGACAAAGTACTGAGCCGAGGTGGCACAGTGGTTAGTGCAGTACTGCAGGCCACTTCAGCTGACTGCAGTTCTGCAGTTCGGCGGTTCAAATCTCACCGGCTCAAGGTTGACTCAGCCTTCCATCCTTCCGAGGTGGGTGAAATGAGGACCCAGACTGTGGGGGCGATATGCTGACTTGAGAGACCGCCTACTGCCAATTACCTCCACTAGACCGATACGATCGCATCGATTAGGCCTCCTCCG